AAATTTTGGATTGATTTGACGATTATACCCCTAGATTTAACGGTTCTTTTGACAGAAGGACTATTTAAGAGTACATGTATTAACGTTAGGGACCATTAATGATACAAAAAAACATTAGGGATGCAATGTGATAATTTCGCAAACGTCAGGGACGTTTTATGATAATAAGCCTTCTTATTAATTAAACCAATTTTTTAAACAATCTAAATATTTTATTTGTTTATGTCCACATGTCGTAAATTTGGCATGATCGTCAACAAAAAGTGTGGGCTGATCTAGCCACATCATCACTTGACGGATTATGTAATGGAGATGTAACATTGGACGACGTTTTAAACATTGAGGTCTAAAGTTACAATTGAGGGCAAACGTGACGAAAAAAGAAGAGGGGAAAAGAACATTGTTGTAAGATAAAGATGATCGTAATATTTCAATTTCTGTTATTATTATCAAGAGCTCCAAGTTTACTTTTGCTTTCATTTTTATTTTCGTCAATAACACATTTGCATTATCCACCCACAACATCCAGCAAGCATACATGGCAGCGTTTTTTGACATTCATTCAAGCCATTCCAAAAGAATTACCACTAAACCAAGAGTTAGTTGGTTAAATATGAGCAACCGGAAATCAAATCCAATCCGATTCCACAAGCAGAGTAAGGGAAAGAGGTTTTAAAAAAGTCATAAGGAAGTTAAGTTCTTGATTTCATTGGTAATGGTATCCCCACCTATTCGATGTCATTTTCCCCTACATATTTACAAAACAAAGGGGAACTAAACCTTAAAACAAAACGAAAGCTTGACTGCATGCACAACTGCTGCCAAAGTAGAATATCCATGAAGTAGTCCGAAATTAAATATAAACGTGTTCACGAGGGGCAAAGCACTGATACAATTTGGCCAAACTAACTTCAAATCTCATTGCAGACTCGTGGTAATCAGATTGCTACAGTCCAATTGACCATTCGAGTTCCCGGATCCTTTCTAAACCTAACCATGTAGTCTGCAAAATCATGCAGCAGGCAATCACTAACAAGTAAATGTGTGTGCATGCTTGTGCGCGTTTGTGTGTTTGTGTGTGTGAGAGAGAGGAAGAGAAAGAGTACCATGATAGGAGGTGCTGCACGGAGAAGACAAACAGAAAATCCTGAAAAGAATCCAAGGGGTCCTCTTGATTTCAGAATTTCAAGGGCACACTCCAGGGAGGTGCTAGCATGTCCACTTTTTATAGAGGCTACATGTATGTGTTTTGACGGCAAACTGCATGCTGCAGCAAAGAATGCTGAAGTAGCACTTGCACCTGAATAAAAAAGACAACTAAATTACATTACAAATAAATACGTGAGGAAAAGGAAAGAGGTTAAACTGAGACAAAATTGGATGTATTAAATTAAATACTGGGGCAAGAAACAAACTCTAGCACATAGCTAGATGGGTACCCCGAGGAATCGAACCCCAAACCACATGCCTGACCATGTAAAGGGTAGAAAAAGCTTCCCACATCTGCCATTTATTAACATGCAGTGTGCACAGATCAGTTGACAAATTACAATTATTACATGCTAGATAACCACGATACTGTTTAGGACCTCAAAAGAAACAATAATACTGCTTTGTTGGCTCATGAAGCATGAAATGCTAATGTTCTAAAATTTAATAGGTCTAGAAAGGACACTCATACGAGTTGGACTATATCCGTTTTGTTTTATACCTTGTTATGGAGAATGCTATCCTTTTTCTTTAACCATATCAAACAGAGTGAGACTCAACCAACAAAAATGTACTCTAACAATCAGAGCTATGGCAGAAGTCGGAACCTTATTATAAAGACTCAGCCTACTCTAACAAGGCATAAAACAATAAAAGAACTGCAAACGTTGGGTAGCATAAAATCAAACACCCAGGAAATAATCATAGTTAAATTTTGAAATCAGTTTTGGTAAAGATAATAATGCCTGGAAATTCAAGTACTCCAGGAAGAATTTTTACCCAATTGTGCTCTTCTTTTGTTAAAACCACAGGTTTCCCTGAGATAATGGAGGCTTGGATTATATGATGCGAGCATACCCATGTCGAACCCCATTTTTCTCTTCGCTAAAGGATTGCACATTAGTCGAATGTTTCTACTGGCAACTGCAGAGCAGCCAGTATGAAATATGTTCCTGCGATTCCAACGTTGTTGTTCAGTTTTTTAGGGTAATTTACTATGAAAACCACACGGTTTTGTCTTGGTGCAAGAAACAGAAAGCTAACTAGATGGGCCGGCGTTCAACTAAATTCAGCTGGATGGACAGACAAAAACCAACTTATTATCATCATCGTGATTCGTGTCTTTCTGCAGCAGCTGTTTAAAAATGTTTGTAACTCAAAATACATATTTTTATTTTTCTGTATTACATTCATCTATGAGTCTGCTCCTGTCTCCCTCTCAAGCTTGTTGCTGGATGATGATCTAGGAAGAGCCCAAGTAGGGCTGTGCCTTGTTAGCTTTTTTCTTTTCTGGCTTCGGCCTGCCTCGTAACCAAAACAAAAAAAAAAAACACAAAATGTTGTTTCCTTTTACCGACTTATGCAAAAACAAAAAAGACGAAAACAATCCACAGCATGGAATTCAAGATTGAGTATACAGAACAGTAGGAATGACGTGAAATCATTTTTTTATTGAAATTGGACTACCCTGATTTTGATCCGTTCCGTCAGAAAATAAGGCATATTCCAATCTCATTTGTGTCACTCAATTTTATTTATTTTTTTTATAAAAAAAAACTATTTTGTTAATAATTATTATACGAATTTTAGGGCCTCTTAAAAGAATTGGACCTGGGCTTTTTTTTTTTTGGTGAGACACAGACCTTGGGCTTTTTCTTTGCCTTCTGAGAGAGGAACATAGGGTTTGGGCAAGTCATAATTTGACAATTTCAACTGGGTCAAAATAGATTGCAACCATTAGTGTGCCGGCAGAGGACCAAAATCACAAGGGATAAAACCATACGAAATTATATTTGCACTGAAGGATATACTTTAGACACCCATGTCCTAAATTTTTAATCCAGAGTTTTCCATTTTCCCATTTTCATTCACTTTTAACACTGTGTATGATGTGGAATTCGTTGCATGACAAACATTCATCAAGAAATTATACAAAATAATATTTATTAATAGGAAATAATACAAACAGGAAGACATATATACCCTTGTGGAATTTCATCCAGATCAAGCTACTACTCAACTTTTACAAACATAAAAGGCACTGTGAAGTTGCAGTAGTGCAGTCTAGTTATAGAAGTGATTACAAAATATGACTACAAGGCCTGAGGCCACATAGAGGACAGATGCAGTACATTTAAACCAGAGAGGAAAAGGGATTGTAATGGAAATGAAGAAGGCTGTGACTCCGAAAAAGACCCCAAAGAAATGGAAGAGATGAAGTGTTTTTCTTGGACATTTGGAGTGCTGAACTAATTTGCTTACCATGATGCACGCAAAGGCGAGTAGGACTGCCAGTCCGAGAAAGAAAAAGCTTAAAGGGAGCTTGCTGGGGTGAACTTGGGTGCGTATGAGAGCCATGGTAACTCCTGTTGACAAGCAATACACCACAACAATCTTTGCCCAATCCAAGTCCCTAGCTGCTGCTGCTGGAGCTTGAGCTTCTAGGTCACCGGGATCATGAAGACGGCTCACAATGGGTTTTATTTTCTGGAGCAGTGAAAGAAAAGAGGCCTTTAGGGACTGATAAGAAGCAATGCAAGTATTCCTCATTTTTTTCTGCAGTCGCTAGCTGTGGATGTAGGTGAAACCGACGACGGTGACCTTGATCTAGCTAGCTTGAGAGCTCAATGGAAAAGATGGGAGCAGATTAAGGGTATTGATATTGAATTTCCTCATTGAGAGGGTAGTGAGACTGCCATATTGAATTTGGCTAGCTTGAGAGCTCAATGGAAAAGAAGGGAGCAGATGACGGGTTATATAATGCTTGGTGAAAGAGGGGGAATAAGCGGAATAGGTGGGAATATTGACTCGGGTCGACAGACTTAAAACTGTCAAATGAGATATTGGTGTTTGTTGATTGGCATCATCCATCCAAAAGAGGAGATGTGACATTTGCTCATATCTGCTCATTTTATTCCAGTAGTAAGACATTGCCCAAAAGAGTCGATAAATAAAAGATAAATAAAAGTTCACAATAGTTCCAATTTCTTTTTTTGGGTAAATACCACGAAGTCCCCACAATAGTTCCAGTTTTGAGCAGAAGGAAAGTTCACAATAGTGGGGAAATAAAAAGATAAAGCATAAGACTTAAAAAAGTAGTTCACTTTTGATTTGTTAATCAAGTAGAGTTGAAAAAAATGAGCCTTAAGGATATTCTTATTTTTTTACATCGTGAGAGTCCCCTTACTGGGTGGAACCCCATTTTGGCAGCCTTAAAGATATTCTTTAGACACCCATGTTCTGAATTCTAGTCCAAACAACGTTTTTCCATTCTTCTGATTTTATTTTTTTTTAAAAGGAAACCCCACCCCTCTATTATCAGAAGTATAAAGCCCAACACGAACACTAACTAACAACAATATAACATTGAAAATTAACTAGTTAACAGCAGCAAGAGGAGCATCCCAAATATATGGAGACCTCTAGAGGCTTTAATGATCGCATAAGAAAGATATATTACTCTTTACCAATTAGTTATTCAATAATTTTTGAAAGTTTACCGTTGATTGAGAGCTCACCCACTCTATATCTATATATATATACTAGCCTCTTGGCACATGCTCTTGGTTTTCTTTTTTCTTTTTTATTTTATTTTTAAAATTAAGAAAAGATAATATGGGTAGTTATGTTCCATAAAAGTAGGACCTATTATCTGATTTTGTTTTTAATTTTAATTTTTTTAATATGAAAATGTGAATTTACCATATTATTCTTATTTAATTAATAATTTCAATTCTTAATGTTTGAATTAACCAAGAGTATTTTCTGGTATTTTGAATGTTTCACCATTCTCTGCATTTTGCTTTATATATATAGATTTAGCTAAAAATATATAAAAGTTATTTTAGGAGCCCTAAACCCTAAAGCTCTCTATAAAATTTTAACTTCAATCATACTCGAGTAGAGAGAGAGAGAGAGAGAGAGAGATAGAGAGAGCACTACTCACTAGTTTGGCAATGGAAATTCTCTACATATCTACATACCCTAACTATTAGGGAGTCATAAATGCTACAACTCTTTTTAAATTGGTCCATCTATATAAAACAAATATAAAAAATAATAAGCATTAATTAAAGATTTAAAATAATCATAAATAAAACAACTTTTTATTATTATTAAAAGTGATAGTAATTTCATTGATAACACACACAAAAAAGTGCTCAGTAGCCGCAATGCCAAATCTGAGTACACCATCTCCAGTGACCAAACACAAAAATAAATTGGTTTGATCTGGAAAGAATTACGCATGCCAGAAAAACCTAAAACCTCCAATTCGGCAAACAAAAGCACTCGTACTCAGACATACAATATAGATCCACCACACAACAGCAGTAACGGCAAATCCACAACGAAAAGTCGAACACTAAATAAAAACATCAACAAACTCCCATTAAGTTTCTAAGAATTATTAAACTAAAATAAACACAGAAACAAAGACACTGCACCACATCCTCTCCAGCAAACCAAAGAGTCTTGTAGCACCAACATGGCTAAACCTCTTATTTTGCATAGGCAAAAATCCAATCCCACACAAACCGGCAACAATCACTTTTCCAACTCCAAACACTAAACTGGAGCAAAATCCATGTGAATGGACCAAAAGCTGCAAAATTATGGCGTCTACAGTGGATTGCAGTACTTGCTTCAAAAACACAACGAAAACAAAAGAAAAAAACTGGGTCGACAACACCACACCTCAACCATCCCAACGACAGCAAGACACATCCAAGAACAACAAAATTCACCAAGGACATACAACAGAAAACACACAAACAAACAAAAGACAAGATCCATATAGATATGGGCAAGAGTACCCAAAATCCAAACAAATCTGGGGAGAGAAGAGGAGAGGAGAAGAAAACTAGGAAAAAAGAAAGGGAGATGAGGAGAGAAAGATGGAAGATGGGGAAGCCACCCACCCCAAAGGTGGCGCGCGACTACGGTGCAAGCTCACAATTTCACCTTCAGAGAGAGTTTATAAATAAAACAACATTAAATTATAGGGGCGTCTACAGTGGATTGCAGTACTTGCTTCAAAAACACAACGAAAACAAAAGAAAAAAACTGGGTCGACAACACCACACCTCAACCATCCCAACGACAGCAAGACACATCCAAGAACAACAAAATTCACCAAGGACCTACAACAGAAAACACACAAACAAACAAACAAACAAAAGACAAGATCCATATAGATATGGGCAAGAGTACCCAAAATCCAAACAAATCTGGGGAGAGAAGAGGAGAGGAGAAGAAAACTAGGAAAAAAGAAAGGGAGATGAGGAGAGAAAGATGGAAGATGGGGAAGCCACCCACCCCAGAGGTGGCGCGCGACTACGGTGCAAGCTCACAATTTCACCTTCAGAGAGAGTTTATAAATAAAACAACATTAAATTATAGGGAGTCACTATGAGTCTTTTCTCTCTCCTCAGATTTAGAAGCTCCTAGAAGTCTCCCTATTTTAGGAGGTAGAAAGGGAGCATGGTTGGTGTTGTATTTTTGGATGCTCGCATTTTCTAATTGCCCATCTCACATTGGGTCTCACTTCCACAATATTTTTCAATTGTAAAATGAGTTTTTTAAATTGCCAATAACAATTTATTTTCTTACCCCCAAAGTTTTTTTTTATAAAAAAAGATAACTTTGTTTTTTTCTAAGATTTCTTACTCCAAATTTTATCTTTTACTTCTTCCTACACCGTTTTTTTTGTCAATACAGTGGAACCTACTTGGTTAAATACATTTTATTAATCCTTGAACTTTATATTTATTTATCCTAACGCTTTATACGCTCTTAATCTCTTTTATTCTTTACACTTTATGCCAAGTACATTTTTGATTCATGTGTTTTGCTTAGTTTTCAATTTGATCCCTATGTTTTCAATTAGGCCGATTTGATTCATGTATTTTAAATTATTATTCATTTTGGTCACGTCCGTCTAACTTAAACGTTAATGTGTGTTGTGTATGCGTGTTTCAGAGAGAGTACCATTATAGCAGCAAATGCTTTCGCGGACCAAAAAATAAAAGAGTAGAAAATCCTGTAAGGAATGGAAAATGTCCTATTGTTTTTAGAAACTGTAATGTGCATGCTGAAATAGCACTTCGCACCTGAATTAATAAGAGAAAGAGAAAACAATAACATTCATACATTGTTGGACTAATTAAGGACAATGTTATTAATATTCTGAAATAATTATTAATTATGCACTTGATGCATGTGTGTTGCGTATGTGCATCACGTTATTGCATCATTTTTAACGGGGTTATTCGCAGCAATGGTCCCTCAACTATACCCGTAGTTACACTTTGGTCCCTCAATTCAATTATTAGTTGCAGGGGTCACTCAACCAGGTGCTATGTTGCATCAGTAGTCCATCAGTCAAACTCTGTTAAATTTTCTGTAAAAAATGAGGGTAAGTTCAGAAATTCATCCACAACCCTCCATTGTCGCAACCCAATCCTTGCTTCTCCTCTCTTGTACCAAAATCTGGGCAGAAAAAAGAAAAGAGGAAGACAACTCAATTACTTCTCCTCCCTTGTACCAAACTCGCCACCCAATCCTTCCTCCCACCCCAACCCAGCACTCACTGTAAACCATCAACCATAAACATCCATCAATTTCTCTGTTTTTATATTTTGATTTTTCTATTCGTTTTTTATAAACCATCACCGTCAATTTCACATCACCTGAAATGGCGCCGGCGTCAACTCTACGACTGGGTTTTCTTGTTTATGTTGCAGTGGTTTAGGTGCCTTTCTCCTCTTCCCTCTACGGTCCTGTTCATGGAACTCCCTATCCATCAGATTGTTGATGGGCTTCTTAACATGATGTTCACAAAGATTAGTAGAGGAGGGGCAGAAGAAAGAAGAGGCGGAGCATATCCAGATAACAAACGTGTTATTGCTGCACTTTGACAGAAGACGAAAAGAAACAAAACTCTGCTCAAACGAACTCATGTATAACTTTCTCTCTCATAAAAGAAGTCTACACACCAAATTGGCAGCAAAAACATAAGCAAATCTGGAGATGCACGGTGCACCCATTTGCACATTCTCCTCCCAATTGAAAAGCCTAATCAAATTAAGAACAAAATCATTGCTGCAGATCTCAGATTATGTATTGGGACTGTACCTTCGTGCAACTTCTCGGAGGCAAAATCGTGAATTAAGTTCCACAGCTGTGAATGTCGTCGACCAACAGCTGCTAATCATGAATTTAGCCCGCCTAGCCGCTAGGCGTGCAGAGGGTTTCTTTTGTTCTACACCAATGGGGCTGCAAATTTTAAGTTCGCTCAGAGAGAGAAAGAGAGAGAGACAAAGGGATTGTTGTGGAGGAGAGGGAGGGGTTGTAGATGAATTTCCAAACTTACCCTCACTTTTGACAGAAAATTTAACAGAATTTGACGGAGGGACTACTAGTGCAACATAGCATCTAGTTGAGTGACCCCTGCAACTAATAATTGAATTGAGGGACCGAAGTGTAACTACGGGTATAGTTGAGGGACCATTGCTACGAATAACCCTTTTTAACGTGATGCACTAAGTCTAAAACTTAACCACAAGGAAGAAACTATCAATTTGTAGACGGTGAAAACGAAGGCAAAAACTTGATGCTCAAAACGTCAAACCCCTGTTTTATAGTGTGGCGTACAAAATTTATTTCTCTTCAACATTCGTCCAATTGTGCCTATTGAGACGATCTCTCTCTGAAGTTCCCAGCTTCAGAATCAGAAGGGGGTGTAATATCCTATTCCAATCACACCCTAAAAATTACAAAGTACAAATACCATAAATTCAGTAATCCTACTCCAACCCCGCTATAAAAATTTTCCAATATTTGTTCGACGTTGAAAACGTCAAATCGCAGAAACGGGACTACAACACAACTAGAAAAAAATTATTGTTTTAAGTTTCAACTCAACTCCGGCCGAAATATCCTTCCATGAAGAAAACTACAACCCAAAGTTTGCTTCCAACTTCTGGATCTGGTTGAGGAAAATCCATGTCATCTGCATAATTAAACACCAACCAATCAGAATATCATCAACCAAAATGTGTCAGCAATTGAAACTAAATGAAACACCCTTGTTCCCCCAACAAAGTCAAAATGCGAGAGAAGAAAGAGAGAGACAGTACCATGACATGGGGGGCAATTCTAACACAATATACTGGAAACCCAGTGTAAAATTTCAATGGTCCTCCTGCTTTCAGGGTTTTCACGGCACAATCAAAAGAGCCAGTGTATGGATACTTCCCCTGAGCATCAGGTTGCATTTTCTGAATTTGGGTTTTCACATAATCAAAGGGCAAACTGCAAGCAGCAGCAAAAAATCCTGAAACACTACTGGCACCTACAAAGAGCAAGCAAGCACATGTCAATTCAGCATAAGCATATTTTAACAATGAAACAGAGGGAACGGGATGCATGAAACCAAGAGTAAGCAGAGAGAGAGATAGAGAGGATCATCATCAATACCCCTTAACTATTAAAATTCACAATATAAACAAGATGAACTCAACATCTGTATGTGGGCATAAGGTCATAATAAGGTTCAGCCAAGAAAATCTGTCCAAATTGTCAACAAATCAACCACCAACATTCGTAGTTATTGAAAACAATGTTGTTTAATAGTAAAGTTTGGAATTATAAAAACACAAACAGGGTGTTTTGGCTAGCTTAACTACAGTGCTCACTCCAAATCTTTCCTCACATAAAAGGAAAACCTGCCCTAACATATGAAGTCCATTACTCTTCATTCCATGTTAACAATACTGGATTCCTCACAAAGAGGATTAGTCAAATATACAGAGTAGATTGAATAAATAGTTCTGAAATCAGTAAAAGTTAGCCAAATAAAACCTCATTTCAATTACACCCAAAATAGTCTAAAGTAAAAAACAATTATATTTATAGTCTCTTACCCAAGATTGTAGTAGCTTCACCAAATCCAAGGGAATCCTTGAAAAACTCAACACTTTGATCATAAGAAGCAAGCATTCCCATGTTTAATGCCATTGCTCTAACTACAGTAGGGCCTGCACCTTTCCAAAGTGCCAAAACCCCTTCATCTGAAACAATACGATAGAGAGCATGGAAAGCATTTGTGTAGTGACGGCGCTGAGCAGCAGGCAAAGTGGCATCGGCCTGCATACGAATGAGTGCTAAATCTGCTGGACTTCCAACAGATGCTCCAATGGCACCAGCAGTTAGCCCACACAAGGCTTTCTGGTATAGAGGTAGGGGCTTCCCATCATTGGCCTCAATTGCTTTGTTTGTCAGAATCCTAAACAAGTTTATCAGATTAACAATGTTATTATCTAATAAACGATGTACATATAAATGAAAATACCACATGATAAACTTACTTAACAATATCATCAGATTAACAATGTTATTAGCTAATAAACGATGTACATATAAATGAAAATACCACATGATAAACTTACTTAACAATATCAAGCAAATGAAACTAAACGTAAGTGAAGCTTTAAATAAACAAATTTAAAAGCTATAAAATATAGATTATGCAATTTCACTTAAGTCTGAATGCTGCAAAAGACCCACCTGAATGATCCAAGACGAGCTGTGGTATATGTGGCTTGTCTTAGCAGTCCAGCAGAGAGTCCCTGCTCATAGGATTTCCATTTAGAAAACAAATATTGTAACGTATGAACTTAAGCCAATCAATCAAACAAAAAAACAAAACAAAAACTTATGTCAATAAAAAACATCCATCCACATTTTGAACCTCAAATCTGACAAAAAATACCTAAAATTGAATTTGGATCTGTGAATCAGAGAGAAGGGATTTGGAATACAAATTGGTCGGATGTAATATAAAATGACAAAACTTGTGATGTTAGTTAAATTCAACGATGTACTAAAACTTAAAAAGACGATGAATTTGATGATGGCTTGGTAATGTGTACTATTTGAAACTGTATCAAGTGATACTGCAGAAAGGACTTATCTTTCTTTTTATATTCAGCATAAAACTTCAATGAAGATCCTTACACATAAATACTCACCTCCCAACTGAAGTATATGTTAATGTCTCAACTTGTAAATGATGAAACAACCTTTATAATCTCGCTCAGCCTAACCTAACATTATAGCTTGAATCAAAACATCATGCATCTCTGATTGGCAGTGAGAGCCTGAATCATAACCCATACCTAAAAGTAAGAAACTTTACTGGTACAAATTCAAATCTATATAAGGTCCTCAACTTTAACGGATCTTAGAAGCATCATCACTTGATTCAAAACCTCATTTCAGCAATGGATCAACAAGATACATGAAACAAAACTCAAGTTCTAATCACGTTTAAAATACATACCTTATACAAAGCACCGATACCCTCCTCCTTAATCATGTTCCTGGTGACCTGGGCCGCCGATCCCTGACCCAATTGAATTCTCACCTGCACCAACCCAAGATAAGAAGAACCATTAAAGTGTCAGCCCCATTTAACCACATTACTGCACTAAACTAAACTAAACCTTTCAAAAAGACCCAGAAATCGCAGATCTAAAAATCATCAAAGAAACTCGTTATCAGCTCAAAAATTAAAGTGGGAACCAGCTAACACGAAATAACAAACATGGGTTTACTACAAATCGCTAAATTCATACCTTGATCATATCGACTGGTTGGATAACACAGGTAGCAAGCATACCAGAGGTTCCGCCATTGACGAAGGGCTTAATGGTGGGCCAAACACCAGACTTGGGCTTATTTTTGTCTCCCATATTTGGATTTGAAGTGAGATAGTGAGAGCTCGAAGGGAGAGAAAGGGGAGATGGGTTCCAAGCAGGCTGCTTTGGAGTTGCAGAAGAGGAGAAAACAAAGGAAAGCAAAGAGGCAATTTAACAGAGTACACTGCACCCACAACAAACCCTCTTCCTCCTTGCTTTCCTCAAGACCTGAAAATTATTATAATTAAAAATGAAAATGAAAATGGACAAGTTTATAGTATGACCTTAGATGTCTACCAAATTACAATGTCAGAGAATCACGTTTTTTTTTTTAGGCCGACTGTGCTTTAAAGGTTGGGTGACTTTACTTGATTTATTGTTTTTTTTTTGTCAAATTATTTTAAGCCCACACTATTCTTTTTCTCGATAGGAAAATGCTCTTTTTTTTTCTTTTGTACAAAAGGTTTAAAATCAAATCTTATAACAAAAATGTTTAAAATCAAATTAATTGTGAAAATAAAAATTAATAACAAATAAAATAGCAATTTCATAAATAAAAAAATTTCTGACCGACTATCCTACAATTGGTTCAAATCAAATCACCCTCATCAAGTATGTTTTCGGCCGACTATTCTACAATTAGTTGATTATTAATTATTTGTCTAGCGTTACATTATAAGTAAACCCAAAAAATAATTATTATTCAATAATAAAAGTATAAATGCAACCAAGGTGGTTGGTGTGAGTGGTTCGGCACTCTCATTCCTTAAGAGAGGTCAGGGGTTCGATCCCTGCTCTCGTACGGAGTCACCACTTTGGCCAACACTTTACCCCTTACAGGCCGACCCGGTGTGAGTGGGGATTAGTCTGAGTTGTGGTTAAGACTTAAAGGTGCCATCCATAGTTGGGGCCTATCCAGGACCACCTTATGGTTCAGACAAAAAAAAAAAAGTATAAATGCGAATGCACGTCATTTATTGATCTCCCAACAAAACCTCATAAGCTTCCACTACATGGTCTCAAAATTAAAATCCACGAAATCAGATTAAAAACTCCAAACTATTAATAAATAAAAAACCAAAATTAGGAAGAGTATTTTAATAATTAATTTGTCACTTTTGGAAAGATTGCTCGAACTATTAGTTTTCAACTAGTATATATTACTAACTCTATGGAAAACAACTAATATGTCAAAAACAACCTGTTGTTTTCGTGCAACTAGGGCAACAATTTTATTCTTGCTTTTCCAGTTGATATAGAATATACAAACCAAGCTTGATGTTGATGTTTTTAAATTGCCAATACACTAGAATATCTTCAACCAATAGAACACTTATTTTGATTCAACTGAGGACTTTGAAAAAATAACAAAATGTTATAAGGGTCTCCTCCAAAGTAGGGAGTCACAATTGGATTGTTGATTAAAGGGTAGAATAGGGAGCACATTAGAACTGATTTTTCTCAGTCTCCTTTTTATTTAGTTAAGAGGCTTTCTAAACCCTTGAAAATGCTGTAAGATGCGAAAATGAAAATTGATTGAGTCAAATAGTTATAAGGGTTTTTTTTGGATATAAAGAGGTTAAAGTAAATGATTTAAGTTACGAGAAAGTTTATTGTCATAATTCAAAATTAATTATGTTAAATCACGATCTTCGGATTGGGAAGAACTCTAAAATTTAGTTGGCTAGTGAGCTCTAAGTTTAAACATTTCCAAATGTCATTACTACTACATTTGGAATACAATGTAGTTTGTTTTGTTTTTTCAATTGAATACAATGTAGTTAATATGAAATGACCCCCAACATAATATATTGCATTTTGAATCTGAAATCTAGGTCACATTTTATTATAAACACATGGATAGAGCCGTCATTTCACTAGTTGTGGGTTGGTGTTGCCTTTTTCTTTCCCCTTTCAAACAAATCTGAGAGAGAGTGTGTGTAGCAACATTGACTTTCTGTTAAGACTCTAACGAGTTGGAGGGAAGTTGAATGCATTATGCATTGTTTGGCTTCTTTTTTCTTTAATTGTTGGGTCAATGCATTAATTTTTTTTCTTCATAGCTTGGCTTAGACTACAGTTTACATGTAAAGTCACTTTTGTAAATATAATAATCTAAGCAACTGGGAAATGGGAAATGACGTTGAAACTATATTGATTCATGCATATTACAAAAGTGACGATATTTCCCGCGGGGGGGATGATCATTTGATGCCCTTCCAAAAGAAAGAAAGAAAGAAAGAAAGAAATAAATAAATAAATGAAGTGATGTTGGGAGGGTATTTTGGGAAAATCAAAGGTTGGGATCAATGACGCCCAATTGCCCATTTGCTCCTTTGCCCGCCTCACGCACGCACGCACACGAGAACCTCAGCTCTCAGCTTATCCAACCAATCCCGTAAATGACAAAGTTGTCCCTGTGGCGGAGTAATATTTAGAGCATTTACTCTCACACCGCACCACCCAAAAAGATGGTTGGATTTTTGTTTCAATACACGTGGTGACGTGGTCATGGTCCCTCTATGTAAATAATCAACTTCAATATATGCCATTGTTCAGAACTTGAGAGATGGGTGATTAAATAAGAGGAGTGTGTTTGTTCGCGCCTGATATGGCATGCAACTTGCTAGGTATCTCACTTTTTTGTGTTGGTTGTTCTTTTTTGTGTGTTTGTTCTTGTTATAATTTACGGGGAGAACTTGAGAGATGGGTGATTAAATAAGAGGAGTGTGTTTGTTCGCGCGTGATATGGCATGCAACTTGCTAGGTATCTCACTTTTTTGTGTTGGTTGTTCTTTTTTGTGTGTTTGTTCTTGTTATAATTTACGGGGATAGAGATTCAAACTCATGTTGAGTGTCGAGTGCAAGAAGACGGACATACTAATTTAGTAAACTAGCATCCTATCCCACAATTGATGCTCTTATTGGAATTGACAATAAGAGCATGGTCATTAAATTGGACAAGGTATAATGTAAGACGAGGATATTACTTACTATTAGTCATTTCATTAAGACGAGTATACCCATTAAATTGGTCAACGTACATATATATTATATGTTGACTGTGCCGGTGAAGTTTTGAAGCCCGCCCATTGAAAACAATGAATGCAACTTTGAAAGCCCATTGAACCATGGCCCATGCCTTAATCCACTTTGCATGCACGCATACAATATTGTTATTTGGGCTATGCGATTCATAGGTTTGGCGTAAAATTATGCTTGAAGGTGATTCGAAGCTTATCATTGATTGTGTTAATCAGGTGGTAGCTTCCCCATGAAGTATCAAGCTTTTGATCAAGGACATCCTCCTGCTTTGTTCTCTTTGTGATGATGTATCTTGCAAACATGTTTACAGGGAAGCAAACTTTATAGTTGATGGCCTTGCTAATTTGGGTCATAGTCTTTCGCTGTCCGTCAAAGATTTGGGAGAATGGTCTTCCCCTTAGACGTCTTCCTCTTCCTATCATTTTGATCTATTCGGGCCTGCGTGGCCGCGTGGTTTTTCTTTGTAATTGAACTCTTTTTCGTTCAAAAAAAGAAGAAAAAAAAAGCATGCCATTGTCATACATCAACATTAATTAATGGGTGAGTAGACAGCCTAGCCTTCAACCTTCATAATATTTTAAATTAAAATGAATCTATTTATATAAAATAAAATAAAATAAACCCTATTAAAATGGACCTATTTGTGAAAAGTCAATATCACCGTGAATTTTCACTTATAATAATAGAAAAGTTGCACTCATTTATATATATCTTTGATGTGTGAATTACTCTTACATACTCAAACAAACTTATATACTTTTTGTGAAAAATATTTGGAGAAAAGAAAACATAGGAAGGTGGATGGTATCATGGTGTGTTAAGAAACAAAGATTATAAAATGCATTATTAGTTTTAGTTCATATAGAAATTTGAAAAAAGAGTTAAATATATAACTGAGAGAAACAGCAAATAATTAATTACCAAAAATATAATTATTAACCGACAAGAATTTTATAAGAAAAAGGCAAAACCAACAAAAGCCTAAAATATCTATCGGATTCGGACCCCAAAAATAAGAATAATATGAGAAACCAGCCAGCAGTAACAACAACAGCTAATCACACTTGAAAAAGACGCTTTGGGCTTGCTTGCACATGGACCAGCTGGGTCCGCCAACTTTTTCAACTTACCCATATTACCCTTGCTTCTCAAAACCAACCCTATCTTATTATAGTAATTTTCGATCCTCCTGAGTCCTGCACTGCATGAGTGAGTCGGCAGCACATGACCCGTTCTTTTCTTGGTCATATCCGATAAGGGCAAAGGAGTCAATAGGCATAAGTCAACAGAAAATGTTGACGTAAGGGGAGGTGGGACCTAGGGTTAGCCTGGCGCCAAATGGCAGATGGGAGGGAGAGCTGTCTATTTTTCCTCTTTTAGCAGCGGACTTCAAATCTTTGTCCATTCCCATTTTATCGAAAAAGGGCAAAACACACACACAAAACCCACACCTGCATAGCATACACCCACACAACACCAACAGAGAGAAAGATAGAGAGAGAGAGGCGTTCAGGTCATTTAGTTTCAATTTTTTTCAGAGAAACGGAAGGATCAAAGCAAAAGAGATGAGGGAGATTATAAGCATACATATTGGGCAGGCTGGAATTCAGGTGGGGAATTCATGTTGGGAACTCTATTGTCTTGAGCATGGAATTCAACCCGATGGTCAGATGCCTAGGTCAGTTTATATACTTTTTTAAAAATTTATATATATATATTCCATAATATGTGTACTTGTTTGTGTGTGTATGTATGTAATTTTCGGTGGGTTTTGTCTAATGGTAGATGATGAATATGTTTTTGAGTCTGACTTTACTATTAATTTATGGATTATTGGGATTTCTTGGCATAGTTGTCTTTTAATATATAGGTGTTTGAGAACTTCCTGTGTATACTAGGGTTTGCAGATGTGTCACTATATTTATCTCTTTATTTGTGGATGAATCTATATATTGCATTGGTATTTTGTTGAATTTCTTTTGAATAAACTTTTATGGATCTAAACTGCAGAATGGGATTTTGGAAATGTATTCAATTGAAAACAAAAAGCAGCATAAAACAATTACAATAGATTTCACTTCAATCCGATTGATGGATGGTGTGTATTTGCTTTCTTTGCAAGGTTGTTGTTACTGATATGTCATCAATTGAGACAGCATCAAGGAACTTAGCTTCATATTCTATGGTTTTGTGAGAGGTACTGTAATAGTAATGATAAAACTTTGTTGATTTGAAAATAATAGTAACAAGTAAAACTCTATTGAATTTTTTTCCTCTGAGTTCATGGATTTTTTTTT